CGAGGTGCTGGCTGCGCTGGCTCCTGGCGCCCGCCCCCCCACCGCGTACGACGGCCCCTTCCCGAAGGCTGCTGTTGGAGAGGACGCGGGAGCCGTGCCTGCTGCTGCGACGGTAGATCGCCCTACCGAGAAGTCTGTAGAGGATGTGGACATGCAGTTAGCCACGTCGCCCGAGGACTCCTCTGTGCAGGCAGGCGTACACAGGCAAAGCGTACGCGATGATCTCTGCTGACGAGATGATCACGAAGACGGAGGCCGACCCGACTGTGGCGAGGATCACGGAGGTCCTAAAGCCGCAGCCGCCGCCGATCACGAAGGCCAAGTTCTACAAGGTGTCTGGCATCTCCCCCGACAGCAAGGGCCTGATCCCAAAGGTGAAGATGACCGCAACGCCTGCGGCCATGAAAGTCAAGGGGCAGACCTACCTCGAAACGCTGATGGTGGACAAGATCTGGCCATGGTTCCCCCCTGGTCCTAAAAGAAGCCCGCTGGCAAGTGGGTGGAGCTCCACCACCACAAGCAGGACAACTGCGCCATCGAGAGGCGCTACCAACAGTATCTTCGAGACCCCGGTGGCATGACAAAGTCCAAAATGAAGTTGCTGGATTGATGTATCTGCGTTGTGAATTTCTCAACAATGCGTGTGACAACGCCGTCCAACAGAAAGTTCAAGCTCAAGCGTGACGTGAGTCAGGCTGAGTTGGCCGACGGTGAATGAAGGCGGCCCGCTCCTCTGGCCGCCGCCCGTGCCTAGCTCCTCGTTCGATGGAGCTGAAAGTGTGCTGTCTGTGCGAAGGTCGCAGGCTCAGAAAGCACAGTCTGGCCTGGCCGTCACCCCAAGAGTGCCGCCGCCAGTCCGATTGTGCTCAGCCTCCCTCCCGTGCCGCTGGCGCAGCTGCTCAAAGAGGCAGTCCAAGCCAGGCAGGAGGCCGCCCGCCCTAGAGGACAGGTGGCCCGAACTCATCATCCAACTGCGTGCTGGTCCTTCTTTTCCTCCTCCTCCTCCTTCTCCTCCTCCTCCTCCTCCTCCTTCTCCTCTGCCTCCTCCTCCTCCCCCTCCTCATCCTCCTCCTCCTGCCACTCCTCCTCCTGCCTCGTCCCTCTCTTGCCCCCCCCCTCCTCGCCATCCTCCTCTTCCCTTTCCTCCTCTTCCTCCTGCTTTCCAATATGGTTTGGGTGTTCGTTCCCCCCCAATTTTCATAGCTCCCCATCTTTCCCCGAATATCGACGATTGCTCGTGTCTGTGATTTTTCCCCGTCCTGGTAAGGATGCCCCTGGCCCAAGGCGCCCCCAGCTTTTTGCTCCATTTTGAAGCCCCTGGGGCACTCTGGACTTTGTGAGAGGTGTTCCTGAGGCAGTATGGGCCCCCTAGAGAATCCTGGGGGGGCACCATGGGCTGGGGGCAGTCCCACCATCACCAAGGCCAAATCCTGGTACGTTCGGCCGGCGTGCCTGCTCCGTCAGCAACAGTCCTGACGACACCCCTTCGCGAGAAACTCGGGTCTTAGGTTTCCTCTTGCCGACGGTTCGGCTGCTCGGGTTTGCTCTTGCCTTTCGAGCAGTACAATAGGGCTGCTGAAACAGGGAGGAACGTAACCCCTTTCCTGGCACCAAAGAGCACGAAAGGGGCCAGCGGCTAGAGGTGCAACCACGGAATGACAAAAGGAACAGCGAGGCTTTTCCGAACCCAAACCAGTCCTGCTCCTCCACCTCCAGCTTCCATAACGTTTGACCTATGCGGGAAAGTGAGAAGAATTTGTCGGAACGCATGGAAACCTTACGCAAATAAAAAACATAGGTCCGATCTAAAAAGGAATAGAAGGTTCGGGCGGGAGGTCTGGAAAAACAAACGGAAGATATCAACGCCGTGGTTGTAACCACCTCACCCGTCGCCCAAGAAACGTGTAAAGAGAAACCAACAGCCAACGGGTGCCCATCTGGAACGGGCGACAACCAAAGCGCGGAGGAACCGGAAGAGAACGTATAACATATAACAACTCTTGGAGTCCTGACTGTGCAATCTGCCTCACTGCAACACATCGTGAAAACCTGCTCTGCAACACAGCTCGCAGGCGGGTCTCTGCGGACCCCACTTTCTCTCTCTACGGCAAGACCTTCGCTCGCCCCAGCGAAGGCACTGGCCGCGTCTGACACTCCTGCGGGCACGCATCCCGCGATAGGAGGTCAGCACACAGGCTCAGGGAGCTCCTCTCAGTCCCCCCCCGCCCCCGCTCCGACCGACCCCCCCCCGCCCCCTCTAGCCTGCGGCTTAGTACGAGCAGGCGCAACTGTCGGAATAGGCGGCAGCCTAGGGTCACGGTGCGATGGTATACTCCGTACAGCACGATCTAAGACATCTGGAGAAACCACCCCCCGCTCAATCTGCTGCTGCAGCCGCGCACTGGCACTCGCGCTTCGCCTGCCTTGTTCACCCAGGCCACGAGCTCTCTCTCGACGGGGCCCCTCGGAGCCGACCCCGTCAGGAATTCGCCGCCCCCTGCCTCGATCACCCTCTCGAGAATCTTCGCGGCCTCCGCTCCCAGAGGCTTGTCGGATCCGTCCGCATCATGATGATGCACCGCTCTTCCTTCTTCAAGGGCTTGCACCTGAAGAACGGAACTGCTCGCCCTACCGTCTTCAGTGTCATGTCTCGCTCATGTACTGCTTCCGCCAATCCTACGCCTCTCGGGGCAGCTGCTCCTCCTCGCACTGCGAAGGCCCCGCTGCAGGTGTTCTCGATGCGCAATATTTCATCGCCGCCACGAAGATGCGCATGTGCGGTGGCCCTCTCCCCGCGCCCATGACCTTCGCGCCCTTGGGCGGGTCGTCGCATCCTTTCCCCGCCGCGATCAGCTGTGCGACGGGGCCTCGATCGAGGGCGATGCCCCACCTGGGGAGCGCCAACCTGGCCGCGTCCGCGAGCTCTCGGGTCGAGGTGAGCAGCAGGCGCACGACCATCTCCACAATGCGCGCCATGCCCCTGCCGCCCTTGCCCCCGCCCTTGCTGCTCGTCCTGGCCGACTTGGGGGCGCCTGCTCCTCCGCCGCTCGGCTGTCCGCCGTCGCGAGGGACGTCGCGCTTCTTGAACCGGGATGGCATCGTCAGCTCCGCCATCAGGGGCAACTCTCTGCTGTGTGATTTCAGTACCCAATGGGTGCAGTTCCCTAGGGATATGCTCAAAAGCAAAATGCCACATGGTTACATGGGTCAAGTAGATCAGCCGCTTCACATGTACACAGCGAACACTTTAGACTCCGAGGCTGCTGCAATTCCCCAAGTGCCCAAGCCTCGTAGCACAACAGCTCCCCCTCATAATGGAGCCCAGGGGGGCACCGAGAAGCGGTGACCTTTGTTGCAGGTGTCTGCCTGCAGTGCACACATGTATATTTGTTGGCGTGGTAACGTGCGCTCGGCTACGTGCGTTGTGATGCGCCCCGTAGTGGTTCATGTGTGCCTTTCGCGTGTAGAACGAAGCCCCACATGTGCCCGTAGCCGTACTCGCCATGCGCCTAGACCGTGGGCCACCTTCAAGAGCCCCAGGAGGCCCCGCGGGCCCATTTGTTGCCCGGGTGGAAGCCTGGTCGGGGGACATGAACCGGGTGCCTAGCAGCTGTGACAACTCCCACATCTAGCATGCAAAACTCCTCCATCTCCTCCCTCTTACTGAACAGATTCAAACCCCCAAGCAGAACATCGATGGCCTCGCTATCGACGACGCCCGCAGCGAACGAGGTCGCGCGCGAACTGAAACAACCAGGGGAAAGCCGCCCCCGAGGGAATACCATCGACCAGCTGCGGAAAAAAACCCTGCTTCTTCCTCGCCCTCCAGATCCCCGAACATGGCACACAACGTCTGGATATGATGATCGGGCCTCCCCCCCCAACTCTGGTGCCATTGCAAGCGGCGCATCCTCAATTCGCTGTCACTGCCAAGAATGCCCCAATACAGCAGGACCTGGGCGTGAAAGAGAGACCTGGTCTTGTCTTCACTTCGCGTCGTCGCACGACCAAGCATCGCAATACGAGCCAAAGAAGACATGCAACCGTCCAGTCGTCGGCAATCAGCCCTGCTGAGGACAAACGCCTCGAGGCCCGCAAGTAGAGCGTTCTGCACATT